CACAAAAACATGACACCTTGATGTCACTTATACTGTAAAGAAACTGTTTAGATTATATCTCTAAGTAAGTGGTAACCAAGGGTACTTTTGGAATACATTTAAAATGCTGAAATATGCTGAAAAACACTCCGTATTCACTAATGGTAGGTGTTATATGCTCAAACTCAATCAACGACTTAGGAAAAACAATGAAAATGTTTGACCTTAAGTATATAAGTATAAGCAATATTATTCTATAAATAACTTTTATGGTTGCCATGGTAACACAGTGTAACCATGCAAAACCAGTAACTAAGATTGAGTTAATCCTACTGTCTTTAGGAAAAACATGAAAATTCAAGACTATAAAATATGCATCCTTAGGACCTAGCAACACCAAAACCATAAAAAAATTGGGTATAATTGCTACTTTGCAGTGTTACCATGGAAACAAAGTATTAGTGCTTAAAAGTGAATTATTTTTCGCTGCATTAAGAATTAAATTGCCATTTAATCAAGAAACAAATTAAAGGACTCAGCTTGAATAGTACTCATCTGTTAGAACTGAAGTTGAATATCATATATTGATAAAATTTGATGAAAAAAACAACACTGTTGCTATGGTTACCAAGAAGGAAAAATGTTCGATTTTGTGAACTTTATATCAATATTAAACCCTGTGTGCCAACTTCTTGCATCCACTTAGAGATTGGATGATAGTCAAAATTAAAAGTCAAGTGAGCTGTTAATAAATATCAATCATAAAAGTTTTGGGAATCTACATTTAAGGGTATGTATCCAAGGAAAGAAAATATTTTTCAGGTTTTTAAGCATATATTTTCTGCTTATTTCCATAGCAACGCTCTATTTAAAGAATCTAATCTGAATTTTTTCAAATGGGAAAACTTGGAGCACACCGACATCTTATAAAATTGATCATTAGTTATGAGGAAATGTGCTTTTTTTTAAAAGATAGGATCAGATTTAATTATACAGAGTGTTACTTTGAAGGCTCTCTGTGGTATAAAAACCTTGGCAACCATTGCCTACCAAAATTAAATATCATATTTTGTTTTTGGTATATGTTTCAAGGCTCTTTTTTCTATTATTTGGTAAGATTTCATTCTATAATTGCTTTTTATTTTTACGTGTATGACTTTATAAAATTCAATGAATGTTTTTTTTACTTTTGAATAGTTTGTTACCATAGTAACGTATGTAATAGTTGATTTACCAAACATGTTTATCATGCATTTGAGACATCTGACCTTCAACTTTTGGAAACAGTCATTGCCAATTTTTTGCTTTGCCGCAAATGTTAACTATGGGGCTCTAAACATGTTAAAAAATGCCATTTTTCGAACTTTAAGACATGTTGCCATGGTAACTATAAAACATAGCAACCAATTTTTGCCTGATTTCAGTTTAGGGTATCAATGACTTTTATCATAGAGAGTTTGGAGAAATTCTGAGACTATGCGTGCCACAGCTCCTATATAAAATTTTAAATCATTACAGAGAATGGCTCTTAAAATTGTCTGAAAATCCCCAACACAGGTTAAGTTCGACACCTTGGGTATTTCACTGTGTATTAAAGCACTTCCTGTGTATAGGGATTAGGAGACAGGTGGCCACAGGTAGACTGCTAGCCTCCAAGGCTTTCACACCTGTACAAAATAAGCCCCTCCCTCGCCTGGAATTTACCACCCGGTAAAAAATCTCTGCCTTTAAAACAGATTTTAAGTACATGTATTTTAAAATAGTAAAGGACAACTCTTGAAAGATTTATATTTTGATAACAAGAGCCTGTTCTTGAAATAAAAGTGAGAAAACTGTAAAAAAGATATGTGCTGAAATATACCGATTAATCGATTGTTAAAATCTACAATCGATTGTCTAAAATCGACAGCCTTTCCGACCGATCATCGATTATAAATCGATCATCGTGACAACACTACGAGGGGTTATCAAAATGTTCATGGACTAGCGTCATAGAATTAAAACCGCTATAGGCACATTAATGAATTTTAAAATATCTAGCAAATATCATCTTTTCTATTAAAAGGATAAACCATAAATAAAAAGAATTCTTTTTTAATAAATTAGTAATGTTTTTGTAAGCAATGGTATGTCCAGGCGGTGCAACCTCGAACATGACGTTTCTGCGACCTATGTGTAACTGAGAAAAACTCTTTTGAAATGATCATTTGACATCTAAAAAACCATTTAATACAGGTATGTGACAGGATACAATTGTTCCATAAAATATGAAATTTTCACTTTATTCTAGAAGTTCTATAACATTTTATCGTAAATTTTACACGGAAAGTCAAAACAAATTAGGCTTTGAAAATGACGTCAAAAGGGGAGAGGGGTTTCTATTTCCAACATCATATAAAGTTTTGCCCCTGAAAAAACTGGTATAGACCTAAAAGATGTTGAAACTGGCCACAGAGAAATAATATGCATCCAGAATACTTGTCTTTTAATGTCAAAATAGATTCAGAGAGAAAAGGGATCCACAGAAAATGTCAATATGTAGTCAAGGTGTGAAAAATCAATCACGTCAAAAAATGACATTGATCTTGTGTTGTAGATATTGGACTTCCAAAATCAAAATATGTCGGCACAATTAAGCGAGGATCTCTCCCAATGTATTAATCCATTTGGAATATTATATTCATTGAAGGCCACTGTTCATAACATTGTAAAGTCATATAAACAAGGCAGGTTTAAGTCCTTACTCTGCTCCAGGGAATCTCATCATAAAAGTGTGTGAGGTAGAAGAAGCGGACGTTGAAAAAACAATGACTTATTGGACGTCATGAAAATAAACGACGACAGCGCCGGGTGATCATATAATATCGTTATATAATATTCGTTTTCATTTTATAATAATTTGGCAAACAATGAACGTATCAGGCTAAGATTTTCAACATTTTTAGTTTTTGCCGTTTTATGTTCCATATAAATTTTGAAAGCACAGACTACATAGTACAAATTTTATAGCCTCAGACTACGAATTTTTTGATAACCCCTCGTAAGCATACCAAATATGCAGTCTCTATCTCCTATGGTTCAAAAGTTATGGCGAAGGTACAATTGTACGAAAACAATTTTAAAGCATATTGGTTAAAGTCAAGGCAACAAGGTCATTGACCTTGGTGTCATTTGGAAGAGCTTCATTAGTGGAGTATGCATATCATATATGAAGTCTGTATCTCTATGGTTCAAAAGTTATGGCAAAGGTTAAAGTTTGCAGACAAACAGACGGACAGGACAAAACAATATACGCCCGGGATCTCTCGATTTATTTTTAAACTTGATTTGAATTGCACAATTTGAAAAATATTCTAATGTTTAAGCTTGCACCAATCTCAAATGAAATGAACCCGATAAAATCAATACAGGTTTTTGAATTCTGGCAATGGCGTCAAGAATTGACGTCGGATTATGGTGACGTCATAAGCATTGATTGTTTTTACACACCATCGGACTTTGATGTGTAAGACCATCGTACGTAAGTATCGCGCGTCTTACAGGAAAGGAGCCATTGGACTTTGGCGTGATCATCGGACTTTGGTGTCCGTAGGACAACAAACCATCGGGGTTTGGCGCATATCATCGGGTTTTGGCGTAACCATCAAACTTTGGCGTGACCATCGGGCTTTGGCGTCCGAACGACAACAAATCATCAGGGTTCGGCGTAACCATCGAACTATGGCGTGACCATCGAACTATAGTGTCACCATCGGAATTTGGAGTCCTTTATATACTGCCTGTGACGTTAACATACTGTTCTTTCACCAAGCGATCGGCATTAGAAGCAAAAGTCACAGGTCTTTCAGGTCTTTCGGATATGACCTAAAAAACGTAGGTCCCATGTCACGATAGGCTTGTCACGCTTAAGACCCTCACTGCTCAATGGCCCTGAGTGCCGAGTATAGGTCTAAATTTAAAGCCCTTCACAGGCATACGGTGACGTCTCCATATGAGTGAAAAATTATCGAATGGGACCTGAAACAGTATACAATCAATCAATTAATATATCGATCTATATCAATAATCTGACTTAAAAGTTGTATTAAGGAATTTTTTTTTGCTGATAAAAAAAATGAAAAACTAAAAGTCACATGCACTACACTTATATGCATTATTCCATTGCTGTAAATCTCTGAATGTCAATTTTCTTACTGAAAAAATGTGCACTTGAGAAAATATTTCAGTAAACCTCTGAAAAAATCCAAATTTAACACCGAAGAGCTTGGCAATGAAACATTCATTTCGAACATGTATGCTTTGTCGCTGCAAATGAGAATTTAACCCGTGCCTCCTAATAACAAAGTGAACGCTCTTTTGTGCTCAGTATATTTTGAAATTAAAATTCTAATACTTTATTAATCAGCTTTGTGTTTCTTTTTAAATGTTATCTGTAATTTTCTAAGCTCTCCTGATTTAATATTGAAGGTGTGTGTGTGTGTGAGGGTGTATGTGTGTGTGTTTGTGTAGAAAGCTGTATTTGATTTAAGCGCCATTATCTGTAAGAACTAAATAATTCTTTTAAGAATGAATTTTTCAAACTCTGTAACATACATTGTATTAAAAAGAATTTGACGTCATAATCCTGAATAAGGTGAAAGGTTACTTTGTATTAATGCTATCTTAGAAACTTTAAACCTTGATCGTTTTTTTATTTGATGACGTTCAGAATTCCATTGTAAACTTTTGCAAATAGAAAATGACCTGATTGTTTTCATAGTCGAAGATAGATTTCTTATCCTCATGATGAAAATATCTTGGATATCAAATAATTCATGCGTTGTAGAAAAAAAACAGCTCTATGAAAAAGAAAAAAAAAATATTTCATTTTAATTATTTATACGTTCAAAAAATATAAGCAATAGTATAAAGTGTATCTAAAAAAAAAGGAAAATATAAGTATGTAAATATTCTTTACATAACACTTCTTGAAAAGATACAATATATTCATAGATGTTAATGAGTCCGTGATTAAAAAATACTTTATTTCTATTTTTTTTTCTGATCATCATCAACGTCTTCTTTAATGCTTCAGAACCTCTCCAGTCATACCAAACAGGGTATTTCGATCCATACTTCACTGACTCTGTATATTGTCCGTTCAGGTTTGAGTAGTGACAGCTTTTGTACCACCAGCCTCCGTGATCTGATACGGCACAGTGACTACTATGATCGTCATTATCTTGATCCTTTGTGCTAAACCTCCTACCACTGTGATAAGTCAAACTATCAGCTGGAAATGAGATATGGTTTTAAAATTGCAAGAAATAATATAACGTATGAAATATGAATTTGTATGGTATCTCGTGTTGAAAACGGTCGTATCTTGCAATGGTGTCTTAGATTTTAGAATTCTGAGCATTTGTAGAATCAATATTACAATCTTTTTTTTTTTTTTTTTTAGAAAAAAGATACTGTTTAAATACGTAAGATTTGATCAATATCCTAGTCAAAGTTAATAAATTAAACCTTAACAATATTGTTTTAGTAATCTTGTACTATAATTAAGAAAGAAATATTCTGAAAAGTTTACTAAATTTATGTAGAGAAGTGTTTGTTGCAAACAGTAACAGATTTGATGTTCTGTTAGTTTATAATCTAGGATAAAGCAATTTTAAAATGTTTTATGCATATTAACTATGTTTCAATATTTTTTGTAATGATATAAAAAAAATTACACATGACAAAAAGATGGGAAAAAATGAACTTTTTGAAGGTTAAAAGTACACTTTTCTTGCTATTTTTTAAAAACCTTGCATGAATATCTCTCTCGGTAATCGGCAGATCATTAATTAACTTCTGTCATGAATTCTTAGAATTGAATATGTAGGGTTCTATCCGCATGTAGTTATCTAAAAAATGATGAAGTGCTTTAAGTTTTAGTTTAAGAATGACTTTAAAGTAGTCAGTAGTATGCATATGAAACACATCACTCGAAATAAGACCCAATGATGGGGCTTATATTTGTTAACAAGTTTATTAAAGGACCATACAAATACATATTGCTAATTTTACATCAGGTTGCTGAAGTCTGTGCAAGGTAAACATATCAGCTAAAAATTGATTCCATTCGTAGTTTGCTCCTCAGTATCGAATAATTTGGGAGATGTAAACACCGGTGAAACAAGACTGGATAAGTAAAATTGACCACAGAAAAACGGTCATCTCGTTCGTCATACTATTGAATTCTTTGTTGGCCCTTGTCGTCTATCGTTAGTAAAGAATCCAAAGATGAAACTGATGAGGCGGTATCTTTGCGAGCTTTTAGCTTTATGTTCACTAGAATATATTGAGTCAATATATGAATGGTGGCTAAAAATATTTAAAAATAAGTCGTCTAAGTATTTATAAATTTCAAGTTGAAAGCCATGGAAATTTTTTTGTCTTCTCGTGTAACGTAGCAATCAATAATTTTTTTCAATCATATGGGCATATTCAATGATCAAAAAATAATTATATACTTTCTCGTAGATAATTCTTTTTCCTTATTTACATTGAATTTGAATGGCAGGTGTGTGATCTCGAGTCTTAGAAATATAGAGAAAATGAACAGTACTCAAGCACAATTGTCAAAATGAGGAGCAGTACAAACACGGACATTGAAAACACCACAGGTGGGATCAGAAGCAAACAAACCCCGTGAAAAGAAGACCTTTAGCAGCTGACATAGCGACAGAATGTATCCGCCGACAAGGCTACAGCACCGACACAAAATGTGTAAAACGATTATCCAAGATGAGATTGTCGACATTCTTGCTTTAATACCCCTCTTGCAAATAACCCACCTCTCTGCTGAAACCGCCCGCCCGAAAAGCACGCCCCCGCGAATCGAATTAACCGAGGGACACAAACATAACACACAGCAACAAAGGTAAGAACAGTCCCATACAAGCAAAGGAAAACCGACGACGACAAACCGAGGTCATCACGTCTATCTTAATGGCCTGTTGCTAGATTTCGATCGACGTCTTTTTCTTGTAATATATCCAAATATGAAACAGATTTGTCAGACTTTTTGATATTGCTTATTTCAAACTCACTGGGACAGATCGTGTATACAGTTGGAAGGAAGTTACCACTGTAAACCGACAACTCCTCGTCTACATATCCAAATGCTGAGCAGAGGTATCCAGCAAGTGCATTCGCCTCCCCCAACGCCAAAGATTTTGAAAAAAAAGTCACCCCACAAAATACAAAAGCAGGTTTGTCAACGTGAGGCTGCAACGGGCACCAGATTTACGGAACGACTGGTCTCCAAATATAATGTTTATCAGAAACTCAGATATCCCCCAAACACCAACTTCAGACCACCTGCGTACAACCAAAATGTCTTTCAACAAACAACAAACAATTCCGCAAACGACCAATTGCCACCCAAGCAAATCCACGAGTTACATTCTCATTGGAAAACAGGTAACAAAAGTTGTAAATTTTCTTCCGGTAAACAATTTATATCCCACCTTTCCCCTTCATCGAAAATGAGTGTTTCAGGCTCTCTTGGTCTCTTGGAATTATGTCAAAGAATTCTACACAAGAGTTTGAAGAATGAAATACTTGGAATTTATGTTCTTGGCCTTTAAATCTGCCAGTGTCAGCATTTATAAATACAAGGTATATTATTTTATTTTCTTATAAATTAAAAGCTTACATCTTCACCTACATTAGAAAACTGCTTAATGTCACTCCCTTAAACAAAGGATTTTGTATTTAAGGACAGAAGATACAAACAAACAAGTGGTCCATGGGCCTCATAGGTCACCTGAGTATCATGTAACAACTTTCCAACAATTTAATTTGGTTCGTGTTTTAACCAGAGACCATGAAATTCACAATTATGAAAGAGGCACCATTGCTTATCATAATTATAAACTAAGCATGCTTATTCTATTTACTTAATACACAGAGGTAAATCAAAGTAACACAGAGAAAATGTATTTCAACTTTATAACCAGTTGTGCACCCCATCCAAAAGGAACCTCTGACCCTCGAGCCACATATTTCAGAATTTTGGAATTCTTATCATTGATTTTATTTCGTCATAAATGGTTGATTAATACCAAAGAGCAGATTTCAAATTATTAATTTTTTTCCGGACTATGTAACCCCCCCCCCCCGACTCCGATACCCTTGATTTAGGGAGCATGAAATTAACCATTTTGCTAGATGCACCTTTCTTCATCATAAATATATCTACTTGGATCGTTTGCAAAATACCCAGGAGCAAAGAAAAAGATTTTAGAAGAATTTATGTATTTTCAATTTTTAATCAAAAGACCCCATCCCCTTTTAAACTAAATAGCTAAACTCCTGACAAAGGGGCCATGAAATTTTACAAATTTGGTTGAAGCAGTATAACTTTATGCTAAGTTAGTTAATTTATTACCCAGGAACAGAGAAGATTTTCAAAGAATTAACGCATTTTCACAATATATTCAATAAAGCCCCGCTCTTACACCAGAACATCTGACCCTGGGGCCATAACATTCACAATTTTGGAAGAGACACTCTTGCTCAGCATAACTATGTACTTAGTTATTTAATTTAATACCAAGGAGCAAAGAATAAGATTTTCAAAGTTTTAATGCATTTTCATAATTTATTCAATAGAGCCCCGCCCTAACACCAGAGCCCATGACCCTGGAGCCATAAAATTCACAATTGTGGAAGAGGTTGGTACTCTTGCTTATCATAACTATTTACTTAGTAAGATTATTTGATACCCAGGAGCAGAGGAGAACATTTACAATGAATTAATGCATTTTCACCATATAATCAATAGAGTCCCGCCCTAACACCAGAACTGCTGACCCTGGGACCAATAAAATTCAAAATTTTGATAGAAGCCCTCTTGCTCATCATAACTATGTATTTATTTAGTTTGTTTAATACCCAGGAGCAAAGAAGATTTTCAAAGAAACAATGCATTTTCACAATATAATCTGTATAGCCCCGCCCTAGCACTAGAACCCCTGATCCTGGGGCCATGATTTTCATAATTTTGATAGAGGACTCAATGCTCAATACATTCATTCTAACAATTTGCCCGCTTAATGTCCAAGAGTAAAGAAGAAGATTTTCAAAGATTTCATTAATTGTAGTGATTTGAGCCCCACCCTCCATGCTCCCAGGGGGGAGACAGGGACCATAAATTTCACAATTTTTGTTCCCCTTCACCCATATTTGCTGTATACAAAATTTAATTCAGTGGTTTCAGAAAAGAAGCTGAAAAAGTTAAAATGTTAACACACAACTCACTAAAAATTCACAATTTTGAAAGCGCCACCATTGCTTATCATAACTATACACTTAGCATGTTTACTTTGTTTACTTTATACCCAGAGGTAGATCAGAGTAACCTAGAGAAAATGCATTTCCATTAAATCAGTTGTGTACCCAATCCCAACTGATCCTGGAGGCACATCTTTCAAAATTCTTTAAATTTTATTTCATCATGTTGGTGATTAATACCAAAGTGCAGATTTCAAAGCATTAAATTATTTTCAGATCATGTACCACCACCACTCTATCCCAGGGACACGGGAATTAACCATTTTTTGGAAGAAGCAGCTTTCTTTGTCATAAATATATACTAAGATAATTAGAATAATACCCAGGAACAAAGGAAAAGAATTTTTTTTTTAGAATTCATGCATTTCACTCTACATATATAAACATTAAACCCGATCCTAACACAAGAAGCCGTGACACATGGTGCCCTGAAATCCACAAATCTCAAAGAGGCATCCTTCCTCCTCCAAATATGAACATAGCTCCTTGGTTTAATATCCAGGCGCAAAAAGACGATTTTTAAAAAAATTATTCCTTTTCACTATTTAATCAATAGAGCCACGCCCTAACACCAGAACCCCAAACCATGAAATTAACAATTTTGGAAGAAGCAGCCTTATTCAACATTACTATGTACTTGGTTAGTTTATTTAATACTCAGGGGCAGAGAAGAATCTTTTCAAAGGATTTATGAATTTTCACTTCAGTGGACCTTCAGATAACCGAACGCCAGATATCTGGATGCTTTAGTATCTGAAAGACTTTTCATCGAAATGGAATTTTTTAACGTTATTTTTTCTTGTTTAACTGGAAATTCAGATATCCAGACATTTCACATATCCGGACAAAATGAGTAGGAACCAAAGCGTCTAGATAAATTTGTGCTCCACTGTATATAATATATATAGCCCCGTCCTACCACTAGAACCCCTGATCCTGGTGTCATGGAATTCATATTTTTAGAGGAGGCAGCCTTATTCAGCATAACTATGCACTTGGTTAGTTTATTTGATACCCATGAACAGAAAGGAAGAATTTCAAAAAAAAATATGCATTTTCACTATGTAATCTATATAGCCCCGCCCAATGCACTAGAACTACTGACGCTGGGGCCATGAAATGCAAAATTTTGGTAGAAACAGTCATTTTCAACTTAATTATGCACTTTGTTAGTTTATTTAATGCCCAGGAGCAGAAAGGAAGAATTTCAAAGAATTACTGCATTAAAGTATAATCTTTAAAGCCTCGTCCTTGCACTAGAACCCCTGACCCTGGGGCCATGCAATTCACAATTTTGGAAGAAGCATTCTTTTTTAACTTAACTAAACTTTGTTATTTTGTTTAATGCCCGGGAAAAGAGAAGAAGAATTTTATAGGAATAATGCATTTTTACTACTTAGTATTTAATTTATTTAGCCCCGCCCTTGCATTATAACCCCTGACCTGGGGCCACGAATTTCTAAATTGTGGTAGAAAACTCAATGCTTATTACAATCATACCAACAGTTTGACTGCTTGATGTCCAGGAGTAAAGAAGATTTTTTTTAAATTGCACTACTTTTAGTTGTGTTGGTCCCTTCCCCAAAGCCCGGGGGGACAGGGACCATAAAATTCAAAATTTTGTTCCCCTTCACCAATAAATGCTATATGCCAAAATTGGTGGAAATTGGTTCAGCGGTTTCAGAGCAGGAGCTGAATATGTTCAAATGTTAACGCACAGCGAACGACGACGGACAAAAACGGATAGCAATAGGTCAGCTGAGTTTTCTCAAAAGGGCTGTCTTGATTGAAATATATTTTTGACCTATTTTAGTTGTAATGATAGATATAATAAATTTCTAGAGTGTAAACAAATTGTAAACTTTCTCTGATTTTCAATCTACACAACTTTATTATTACTGCCATAACATTAAATCCCAATATTGTGAAAGAATATTTTCAAGATTTAGAAAAAAGGTTTGTTTCAACTGTGTTTAATATCAAAATTTATGAAAGGATGTACCTGCGGTTCCTGAATACCCCGATACAGTGAGTTTGTATTTACTGCCTTCGTCCCCGACATAAAATGTGGAGTAATGAGCATATGCTTCAGCACCACCAAAACTTTGTAGCTCAACCCGGAGTTCCTGATCCCTGTTCCTTGTTAACTCATTGATTGCATCATTTCCTTTTTCAAAGATATAAGTAAAAAGTTATACTCATTTTTAGAAAATAGTATTTTCTTTTATTTGCTGGAATAATATAATGGGTAGATCTGGAATTCCAAGTGTAATTAAAACGACTTTTTAAAATGCAAAGTGTTTAAAAATAATTTTATCACTACTTATACTTTACTAAAACACCTTCAAGTTGAACATGTTGAAATCTTAAAAAATCTACAAGGTTATTTCTATATAAGCAGCCAACTCGAGCTCCTTGCCATTTTCAATGACCAAACTTTTCCACGGAAAACGAGCGCGGGTATGTTAAGGAAGCATATAAGTCATTTCTCGGTAAATTTAGACTTTTTAAAGAAATTTACCAGAACCGCCAATAAAGGTAAACTATTATTATATATTACATTAAGATAAAAGAGTGTCTAACGCAAAGACGTGCGCCACAACACTGCATCACGTGACTTCTATTAATAGCGAAATTTTCCTTGATACAAAACCTAACATATTCGCTCGAAACCTTTACCGATGTTTTGAATTTTATACATATGAACCGAGATTTTTCGTAAAGCAATCTCTAACTCGGAATTCTAGAAGCACTTTTCAAGTATTTAAAGGAGGCAAACTTTCCAACTGAACAAATCTTATGTTTTGAAATATCCAGCTTATTGCTGTTCTGTTGCATTATTTTAGTCACGAATGACAGCTCCTAAGAAAATGCCGACCGGGATACGTATATAGTTGACTGTCTTCAAAAGAGAATATAATCGATGAAAATAAATTAGCATACCTGTTTAATTAACTGAAGTCCATGTGATTTTCACAAAATATCCACGATATTTGCCTTGAAACTCTATTTTAGGTATCTTTGTACATTCTTAGCCGAATTCTCTTTACACGACATGATCAATTCCCAATTTACTAGATGTACACATATGACGTCATCGGTGGTAGATTTTAATCAACATGACAGATACATTATGACGTCATAGTAGGCAAGATGACGTCAATTTTTAAACACAGGTTTTCGTAATACTGCGAGGTTAAAGATTGATTATCGGGGGGTTCTCTTGGGAATGGAATAAGTAATGTAAGTGTAATGTAAATAGGGTGTCCCAAAACATGTTACACTTTTATATACTTTTATACACTTTTATACTTTTCTATAACTCTATCAAAATAAAAGCATTTACAAAGATATTTTGTTAAAATCTAGTGTATTAGCATACATTTTATCTGATCTTATTTTACTTTTAATGTATAATACTTAATATTCGAGTGGAATCTGTTACGGACGTCATATTGTATGATATCTACTGTATTCTTAGAGGAGTAAGCAAGAACCCTGGTGCATCTGTTTCGGATTTTATTTGCAAAATTTATTCATTTATAGATATGTATAAATTGAAATTTGCGCAACATGGGTATGCTTCAATATCATTTTGACTAATATGACACACACAGCAGACAGGGAAAAATTCTCTTCACTGTATTACATTTCATCCCAAATTGAATCCACATAACTTTTAAAAGTTTTTTGATCCTATTGTTTTTTTTAAATTTGTTCTAATATACTAGAGTAACATAGGAGTCATCCCGTGACCTCTCCCTACCCCTAGACCATAAGTTGAATAATTCTAATTTATATTACCGGGGTATGTCAAGAAGCTTTTACTTACTTTTATCCATTCCACCCCTTAGAAATCGTACTTATCCAATAGTTTTAGGGGGACCGTCAAACCCTCGTTTATATTCTGTCACTACATTTAGATAGACATCTTATAATGTAAATGTTACATTTTAAACTAATCTTACCAATCCAGTAGTTTTTATAGGCATCCCCAAATCCTTGTTTATATTCTGACCACGTCCTGTAAAAATCTGTAGATCCATCTTGTCTTCTTTGTATAGCCTTTAACAGATTAAATGATTTAAATTCCTTTTGAATGTTTTAAACGTAAGTAATTTAAGACTTGTTAATTTTATTTTAAAAACACATTTAGATTCTATGTTTCATAAGAGAGAACATCTAAAAGCACTAAGTGATTTCATTTTCTTAGGACACAGAGTAGACTTTTTCCTCACTTTATAACAAGTTGTACTCACCGTCCACCATCCTCCATCTGTACTCATGTACTCATGTCACAGTAAACAGACCTTACTACTGAGTCTCATACTAACCGTCCACCCTCCTCCATCTGTACTCATGTCACAGTATACAGATTTGACCTTAGAGTTTACTGTTATTATGTGTACTCCATCTCCTCCCTTTAAAAACGGGTATTTCCGTAATATGTCCAAGCAACTATGACTATTAATTGAAAGCACTGAAAAATAAATTGATTAATTAGATGTGATTTATTGTTTTATTCATTTATTTATTTTTACAATTTAAAAATCCATTAACAAATCATCATATAATCGATTAGTTGATTTTATGTTGTGTTAGATCCCTTTCGAGAATTTTTTTCACTCATATAGAGACGCCACCACATACACCGGTGAATGGCTTCCAATTTAGATATCAGCCCCAGTGATCCTTTATGTTTCAGACGATTATATGAGAGTTCAAAATCCCATAAAGTTATCTACCATGTTTTCTAACAAAACATAAAATGCTTTCATAAGTAAATACCCTGTACCAAACGGTAATCAACCTTGCAATTCTAGTTGTTTAGCTATTTAGTTAGTTTAGTTGTTTGCTTAATTATTTACTTGTTTACCGTTGAGCTTATCGATGTCGAAATATTTACAGAAAGAACCTGAAAGTAAAATACCGTGCCTGATATAAAACATTCACAAAAATACAAATATATGAACACGGAATCATGGAAATTTTAAAGCTGGATTTAGTGCCTAGGATGAGTTAGCATCATCTCCTCTTGACCAAGAAAACCCCCAACGGGTCCGATTTATTGGTCAGGATTTAGTAATGTACCCATTGCCACTAATGGGTTGTGGGGAATATATTCTTAAAACACTTATTTTCCTCGGGTCAACCTTCGTGGTTTGTGGGCAAAATATTGATTAATTGTGATTTTAGATTTCGAGGTTGGTACTACATATACGTGATTCAGTCCTTCGTAATTTTGACATCTCTTGGAGAGGATATGAATCCGTACGTCACCTCAAAAACAACAACATAAAACAATCATTTGAAAATTTTTGATTTCACAGTTATTTGATCATCTAATAGGAATTTTAAGTTAAGATATCCGATTTTTTTATTTTAATCTGTAACCATTACAAAAAAGACTTTAAATTATTACACAATGTATATAAAGTGACTAATTGGAGGTGGTTCCTTAAGTACTTGATATCTTATACTTCCGTAAAAGAAGATAAATCTTAATTTATTATTATTATTTTTTTTTTGATAATTTCTCTCCGGAAACCAGCTACTAAGTTTATCTTATGAATTAATTCTAAACTTAAATAGAATTTACAATTATACTTAACCTTTTGATAAAGACCAGTTCGATTCATTCAGATCCTCCTGAACATTGTTGAACGTTTCATTTACAGACGCTGCAAAACTCTTGAACTTGTCCTCCATCTTTTTAATCTGTCTGGCAAGAACTTCTACGCCACTGATCTGTAATGTCGGGTTCATTTCATTCATTTGATCTTGGAGAACCTCCATTCCTTGACTAAGTCCTCGATCAGTGTTTTCCAGAACCAGACTTTTATTTCGAAAGCCATCATCAAGTTCTTTTATTTTTTGAAAGTTCTTTTTTACTTCTATTACATGGGATTTATTCAGAGTGTTAATTCTATCCAATGTTCCTATGTCCGATGACTTCAATGTCTCCATGTCTTTTCGAACACCTCTTTCCGTTTGTTTTATTGTCTTATTTAACAAATCAAGTTGTTTTTCAAAAGCCGAATTTTTCAAGGCTAGTTTGAGATTTTCATCATGGAGAGCTACCGTTTTGCTTTTGAGAAAAAGTATTTCCGTCTGATTAAGGTTTTGAATTTCTTCCATCGTATAGTTTCTATAAGCATTCATCGTGCCGTAAACGACCTTCAATTCCTCTTTAAGTTTGCTGTTTTCTTCTTCAATTACTTGATTTCTAGTCTCCAAGTCCTGTAATTCCTTTGTCACCTCACTAAGCTTCGCCTTCATTACTTGTCTATTGTTTTTATTATCTATGGCATCCATCACTAAATTTTGTATTTTTTGCACCATAGAGAAGCGGACCAGACTTTCCTGATTCAGAATGTCTCGTAGGACGTTGGACGCTCTACCTGACACAGTAATCGGTAACAAACTATCTTCGATAGATGCTTTTTCAGGTAATGGTAATTGCCCAGAGATCCCGCACACGTACATTGGGAGTATTAAAACAAGTATTCGTGGACACTCCATCTTTGCCCTAATTTCTTATGCATAAAAAAAGGATTTTCAAGGTTTTTATATTATGCAGAACTGGGCGTTAGTTATCTACGCGATGATTGAAGCACTGAGATAAGTATTTTTCACCAAAAAGATTAAAGCTTCAATCTCTGTTTATAATATGCAGATTGAATAAACACCTATCAAAGACGAGGTACATAAATGAAGCATTTCTTGGCAAGTAAGTTTATTTTAAGGGTTTTTGTGTTCTCTTTTCATTTTCTACTTTTTTTATGAAATCATTTTATCCTGGATCTAATCACAAATATTTACGTAATAACCGAGTCAAGTGTATTCAAATAATATTGTAGTTCCTAATTGAAATCCTGTTTGTAGACTTTTAAAGAGACCCGGGTCTGTATCATGAGTTCTTGTTTATAAATTAAGAGGAGATTTCTTACAATAAGTAAGCATTAAACGTGATCAACTTTTGGCAATTGCGAAACGAAGCAGCTGTATATCCTCAAAATCTTCAAATGCCTCTCTCTCTCTCTATCACTTTCACAAATATCTCTTTTTCTTTTAATTGAATTGGCTTTCCTTTTCATTCTTTTAGAAGTGTTGACACTGCCTTGTAATGTCGCTACATATTTTAGAACATCAATTTTTGCATTTATTACACTTTTATTTTGTTTGATGACCAAACTCTTATTTTACACAATCTTCAAAATATGTCATTTTTATGAGGTTGCCTTTAATAATGACTATTTGATATACATTCATATTTTTATTGTCATTTACTTTTAATTCTCTCCAAATTCATATTTTTATTATCATTAACTGACCAAGTTTGCCATAGTATTACTAGGTTTTTCATCGCTATATACTGTGATCTTTTTATTAAAACTTTGTTGTTTCTTCTATCGTTTTGCTGTCGGTAACATTCATCACTAAACTTTATAATTTATGTACGATAAAAGCCTAGCAAATTGTCCTGAATTAGAATGCTCCGTAGTACAGTAAACGGGACGCTTAACCAGTTACGATTTTAGGCAATAAGGCATTTTCTTTTGATAATTTTTGCTTTCAGGTTAAGGTTTTAAGGCAAAAAGAGTATTAAGTGCAAGGAGAATATTAAGCATAGTACTTGTGAAATCCCCATCTTCGCAATGAAAATTGATGGATAAGGGGAATGCTTATATACATTATAGCACTGGGTGTTGATCGTCTAAAAAATATAAGTACATGTCTGGGTTTTTTCTAGATCTGCTGAAATGATGACTTGATAGTTGATATTTGATATACCTTTCCTCTAACAATGGATATTGCGTCTCATCTGAAGAGTATATTTCAACTCTATTTGCTAATGAACTTATATAGTTACTGATCTCATGAGTGGCTTATTATATAATGGAAGTCTCAAGGAAGCCTAAATCATAAACTTTCGCTTGATAATTTAAATATGCTATTAATCCTATGCCACAGACACCAGACGTTACTTATTTTTCTTTAAATAAATAAAAAAAGCCTTACCGAAAAATAAACGTTTATTATTAGGTAGGGGTATATTTTTATGAATAGAAAAATAAGTAACGTCAATTGCCTGGGTCCACTGCACATATTTCATTTCAAATAATTTTTGGTAACTGGGAAATCTCTCAGAAAGAGATAAGCCTAATTTACTTCTAGTTTATTCTAATTATGTAAAAATGTTGGTCACAAGAAAATAACGTTAATTAATCTAGATTTCTTGCTCTCTGGCATATTAGTGCGCGACATAATTATCCTTACCCCGCGACTCCAGAGCAAACGATCTAACCATTGCGCCACGCGGGCGGCTTTATGATCAAGTCCTTTTTCTGCGACTCTAGAGCAAACGTTCTAACCACTACACCACGCAAGCGACGTTATGAACAAGTCCTACTCAGGACTCCAGAGCAAACGATCTAAGCACTGCGCCACGCGGGTGACGTTATGATCAAGTCCTTACTCCGCTACTCCAGAGCAAATCATCTAACCACTGCTTCACGCCGGCGACGTTATGATCAAGTCCTTACCCCACGACTCTAGGGCAAACGGTCTAAGCACTGCACCACGCGGGCGACGTAATGATCAAGTCCTTACTCCGTGACTCCAGACCAAACGATCTTACCACTGCGCCACGCGGGCGACTTTATGATCAACTCCTTTTTTCCGCTACTCTAGAGTAAACGTTCTAAGCACTGCGCCAGGCGGGCGACGTTATGATCAATATTTGTAAATGTAAATATTAAAAATTAATAACTATAATATGCCAAATAAGATTATTATTGAATGAAGGTATTTATTTTAAAAAATATAATGCAGATACATGTTCTGTGAAATAACTTCTTTTCAGTGAATGTGTTCAAATGTCTGACTCCCCCTTACCCCCCCCCCCTTCCGATTCAGGTCACTAAGAAGATATATCGCTGAGTGTTCAAAGCATGAGGGGTTAAGCCTTTGAGGACTGTGCACTGGTTTAGAAAATATAGTGTATTTATACTGATATTATAGTAACAAAATAAATGCTTTGGAGATGAGAAACTGAGTTTGAAAAAAATGAAAGTTATTTTCGTGACCACTGATGGTGATAAATCATTACGCTTCACATATAAAATGAACATCAGCTGCAAGATTTTCAGAGAAAAAAGTATTTATTTATCTATACATATGACCTTTATTGTCTTTAAACAGATTATGTATATATACGGTCCAACAACAAACCAAAAAATATGTGAAATCTTTCAATATTGTAGAAGGGGACCGGGGGGGGGGGGGGGTACTGAAATGCGTATAGCTTCAAAATGAATCCGATTACCTTACTTCATATTTTCACCATAGGTCACTTATAATGACTGGTACAGCGCATATTAGTTTTGGGAAAATTAATTGGGTAATTTTTTGTCTGGACGTTAAAAACTGCCATTGGGGTGAAAATATTACTGCAAATTTACAATTAATACTATCCCAAAAAACAATGTCATTACTACATCTATCAATAGTTTCCGAAACAATTTTTATTTTCAATAAATATAAAGGTTATTATTAAATATCTGCAGGAAATTATTAATTTATTTCAATTTTGTTGCGTACATGGCATTATTAAACATTCACCTCATAAATATCAAAAAATTAAAAAATGGTGGTTACCATGGCAACCATAACTTCCTTATAATCCCGATGACCATGGTTGATACTTTAATATAATGGTATCGTTGACATAAGGCACATTATATGTAAAAATGAGAAAAATTCATTGGGCGGGATTTTTTCACGGACCCTTGCAATCATTTCCTAAAGGTTCATTAACTTAGTTGTTCGGATAGTCACCGAATATTTCTCATGATCGAAAGTACATGTATATTAAATGTATATTATTTGTTGATTTCATTAAAACAGTATCCATTGAAAACAAAAAAATACCAGGTACTCAGCATTATTTTTAAAAATGTATAAGTGAGAATGAAAGGGATGTGGTAATTTAGTTACCAAAATATTCATCAAACTTTGACAGTAAGAAAGAAAAGAAATACTGAAAGCGCAGGTCTGCCTAAATTACAACTTATTTTTAACAGAAAACACTATGACTGGTAAAACCGGAGGATTGCAACCCACTCCCCAATCTATACATGTCTGTTGTTGTTGTTTTTTTTTTTATTTCTGACACTTCTTAAATTCTTACCCTATTTCATATTTCAAAATTCTTATTTTTCTATTTTTTAGTTCTCACTCTTTTTACGAAATAAGTCTGCATCCTTGCTGGACTTCACTGCTTTTCTATTCATCTACGTCATAGAATTGTATATTTCACGATTTTTTGTATATCATTTATGTATATGAATAGGTTTTATATCGTATCCCTATACAATAATTATTCTTAGCTTTTAACTTTTGGTGATCAAAACACCTGGCACTTTAACCAAGTTGTGTATAGACTAAAAACTTACTTCTTCTCGACATTCTTTGGACGAATATTTCAGCTTAAGTTTGGTCTTGACTAAGTCTCCGAAATTTTGTGAAGCGCAGCGTAGTTCAATTCTCGGGCCAGGTTACTGATTTAGTCCGTACTAATAAGCTTACCACCGTTAGCATTTTTTGAGAATCGAGCCCCAGGCGTCTTGATTTTGTGTCCAATTATCATCATGACATTGTGTAGCGCTATATCCTTTTTTACTGTGACTGTAGAACCATGTTGGGTATTTCCAACTAGGGGCTCTGCCATATCATTTTATTCAAAAACCTAGTTCGTTGACATGCTTTGTAAATTAAATCTTAATTTGTCGTACAAGGTCTACAAATCTTACATGTGTATAAATTATATACATTTACATTTTGTCATTTCGTGGAAATGTGTAGAGATGCTGGAAAATTTGATTACCTTTTAATATATGTATTTAATTGTATGTTCTGGGGGTACATTCTACATACATGAAGCTTGTAGGTAGATATGCCTAATGGTTTATATCATTTTGTGTTTTATAAACATTTTATTTAATTAACCTGCTTATATCTTCAATATTTACTGATAATTTTACAAAATTTCATTCAAAGAAACAGATTGTAGGTGTCTATCGCACCAATCAACATCATTTAGTGAGATAAGTAATTTATTCTAAAATGGTGCTTATACTGTTTGAATTATAATCATTAACAATGATAATTTAATTATGTTTCATGATACATTAATTAATTCTAGTTCTTGTGTCTGATCATCAACACAGTCTGTTTTAATGCTTCCTTTTCTTTCCATTGATACCATACCGGGTATTTCCAAGCTGACACAGCAGACTGTGCGTACTGTCCGTTAAGGTTAGCGAAGGCACAGCTGCTGTACCACCAGGCTCCGTGCCACTCTGTAGCACAGTTTCTACTCCAGATGTCATTATCCTGGTCCTTTGTTGTAAATTCATATCCATTGTTATAAGTCAAACTGTCACCTGTAACAGAGTATTGATAACCTTTAATTATCATGATATCAATTAAAGTAAAAAAAAAATGTACTCCTTATTTTCCTCTCTATTGAACAACTACATTATTTTTCTTATGTATCACACATTGTAGGACAGATCTTGTATCAAGCAATTCTGAAATATAGTTTCTTTTAGGTACATATACATGTATTTATAGAAAGCAACTACTATATATATATATGTATCTTTTCTTTTCCGTATGATATACAAAATCTTGACTGCTTTTCGTTTGCCTTAAGTGAAGGGGTTAATATAGCTGCACAATTTTACTCCTTCCCGATTTTTAGATCGGTTTTTCCTTTCTTCATATTATAAGAGAAACTAATTCAGTCAATCAAGGAGAGATGATACAAACTTTTTTTCAAAATGATAAAGAATCAGCAATATCATATAGACTGATTCTACTATTTTGTTTTCCCTGAAAAAAATTGACATGATTTTGGTTTACTTTTCTAAATTATATATTTAAGTTAATCTAAAATTTGTTTTCATCTGTACAGTACCCGCATCGTTATTCTTTACAAGTCCATCGTGTCCTATCGTGCGTGTATCCTATCGTATCGTGCGTGTATCCTATCGTATCGTGTTTTCCGTTTATCGTGTTTTGCGTTTTCTATCGTGCATGTTTTCCGTTTATCGTGTAGATAGTTTATCAGGTTCTATCGTGTATAGTGTTTTGCGTATATCGTGTATATTCGGAAATCCTCGCTTTTTTTCTTTACAACAGGAAGAAACTACCGAGGTATTCCGAGTTTCTTTTTCGTTTTGTTAACTAAAATAAGATTAGTTTAACAAAGAAAGAGAAAAGAAGGTTTTATCCCATAGTTTTTTATCATTAAAAGAAATATTAAAGCCTGGAAAGAAAAGAATAAATATATAAATAACATAATTAATAAATTAAATATTTAATAATTAATAAAATTAAGAAAATAATCATATCATAGTCAAGCAGAGAATCAAAATAAATTTTTGAAAATGAAATAATCGATACCCTGTTTCTTTTTTTAATTCATCGAATTGTATGATTTTTTGGTCAAAATTAAATTTTAAATAAGATTTTTTTTAAGAAGTCAGAGTTACTAAAGGATGATTTTCGGTAAGTCACGGTGTATACGTACCCCCCCCCCCCCCCCCCTAATAATTAGCTGTGGATTGATATGTATCTTTTTTAAATGCAATATTCATGTTGTAATGCTCGAAGTAATCTTTTTGACTATCTTTTTCGACTTGATTTAAACATCATACATGTACACCTACTGCTATGGGGCAATGAAAATCTCTCAATCGAAGTAAACAGTGACATTTTTGCCGCTGTTCATAAATTTATAAATGAATCCTGTAGATTTAGCTAGATATATTATTGAATCTTATTTGTACACGTTTCTGCTACTATTTTGCATGACAATTATTATGTGTTTTTTTAAGGAGAAGAACTGGTAAGTTGTTAGAACTTATTTCTTATCCTTTTGCTTGACAATAAAATATGTTCAAAACATATTCATTTACTTCCGATCAATCGTCTGGTACTATTAGGAATGTGTTTTCTCCTCTGACCTACATGTACGCACAATTATTTAAAATCTTGATTGAAACAAATAATGATAACAAAGCATTTAAGACATTGATCCAGATAACTTTAACAATGATTTTTAAAATTTATTTTTTTCACTATCTTACTAAATTCCTTTATATGTCTCAATTTAAAAAAAAATTAAAATTATAAAATGAAATGCATGAAAATGCTCTACCCGATTTATCACACCATGGCAGTTACTATAAAATAGAAGTTATCATTAATTTTATCTGGCATTATATAATCTAAAAATAATAAACAGTGAAAAAAAAACATGATTACTGTTAACAGCTTACCTTTTCGGCGTGGAAATAAACTGAAAATATAATGCACCTGAGTGTCAAATCGAAGAACATTCCTTGCCGTAAAACTGACAAGTATGTGTACCTCTCTAATCAGCACACTGCATTCCTGTGCGGTCAACAACCCCTCCCCCTTCTCCCCCATCCCCCTAAATGACAGCTAGGCCTGTGTGTGTTCTTCGTCAACAGACCTGAACTGCTCTCTCACCTTTTGTCAAACAGTATATATTTTCGGGATTCTGTTCATACCTTGTGTGAACTACATGTACACCCATAAAAGATTTTTTCCAAATCAAATATAAATTGTACAATTTATGGATTTGAAAAAAATCATTTCCTTGCTTAAATTCAAAAAAATATCTAATAGATCAATTTAATGCAACAAGTCCCTTAACTCAATCCGCTGATTTATTTGATTTGTACGATGTTTCCATACTGTTTATGAAATTAAGTCCTTTCATGAACTTTTTGAAAAAGAAATACTGCACTTATGGTACATGGACTTTCGGATCACCGGGTTTTCATCGGGTTACAGACAGAAGTAATTTAATGAAACAATTTCTTTGATCGTAGAAAAGATTAAAATAATTCTAACAGTCTAAACTATGAAAATTTGCTTGCATTCATTTTTTCCTCGATATTTTACTATTATAATAATTAACTATAATTATAAAAAAGAAGTTTGATTCCGCCGTGACCATGCATGCAAGACGAGTAAATGTATTTCACCCAATCAATTTATAGTATTAACCGATTTTATTCCATACGTATATAACTTTATTCAAGAAGTCAATATTATTTTTGGCTATTTGGTTAGATCATGTTTATCAAATTTGAAATTGCTTACGGACTTTCAACATCCCGCCCTTCGAATATGCCGTATATAAGATTACCGGGTAAGTCTAAAATAATTTTCAGGGCTTAATAATTATTCGCATTAGAAACAGTACATACAAAGTTTAATTTCAATAATTTATAATAGTTTAGTCGGAAAAGTCGCATTTCACCCTTTTATTATTTGTTTATATTTTTGTGTTTTGTATTATAAAGAAAAAAAAGTATTTTATCATTCAATGTTCGTTAATTAACACGAGGTTTTAAATATCTGATATATGAATGTTTACATGTACATAAGTGAGAACTTAGCGTAAAGGTACATGTACATGTGCATTTGTAGCAGATTCATATTCTATTGACACAGTTTACATGAATTAATGCAGAGCGCCACTTTATTAACAATTATTTAGATTTCTTTTCAGGAAATTATTTTTTTTTAACTATATAGTTCTTTAAAGCCGATTTCTTTGAACCTTTCTTTCGGCCGGTCCTTTACATGTATTTTCCCCCTAAGATTTTCAAATTTAATTGCGATTTTTGGATACAACGCAGATTCTAAGCTTTAGACATACATTTATTTAAATAGATATTTAATTTATTGCGTAAATTTCTTCCGTGAAATAATTTAGTACTTGTAGATAAATTTATTGGGTACAAACGTACTTTTTTTCTTAAATAATAAATATATTTATAGAGTTTAATAAATTTTAAAAAAAAAATACAGTCTCCATTTCATAATAATCCATTTTATCTTTGCCAAAAAAATTATATAAATAAGCAACTTTTGTAAAATAACCAGTCATCTCAATATTATTATTATAATAATTAAATGTACTTTATAATTTAGATTTGAAGCTTTGCAAGTATTTAAATTAAAATATTGCAGCAAACTAGACAAAATAATCTTTTCATCTTGTCAGAAAACGTTCCGCATTTTGAAACAATCCTATCAGGTTTTGCGTTTATCCTATCGTGAAGATCGTTTATCAGGTCTATCGTGTTTTGCGTGTATCGTGTTTTGCGTTTATCGTGTTTTGCGTTTATCCAATCGCGCGTGTATCCTGTCCTATCGTGCGTGTATCCTATCGTATCGTGCGTGTATCCTATCGTATCGTGTATCCTGTAAAGAATAACGATGCGGGTACTGTATGAGGGTTGTCCCAAAAAGTCGTAGACAATGATAATATCTTTTTTAACACGCAACCAATACTTACCAAATTTTGCATAGACATAATACATTCATTGTTCTTTAAAATTGTGAATTCTTAAATCTATACAATGTATCTTTCATATTAATCATATTGGGACGATTTATATGAAGGCTGATATGGTCTGTCGGCGCACGATCAAAATTCGGAATAATTTACGCATATAACTATTACATTAATTTTGTTTTTATTTCTTTGGTACTATGTAAAAGATTGAACTAAAATTTAAATCATTGAAACCAGAATCAAAATCTTAATAATATGTGAAAATTTCATATAAATAGCATTAGAAACAGATGACTGGTGGCATGATTTTCAAAGTGTTGTGCGAATTGAGATTGATGAGAATGACGTCATCGAACGCGTACCCGGCGCACGGAAATGTAATAAATTGTTTTTCGTATGTTTTATATTCATCTGAGACGGGGGAAAAGAGTACAAAAAGGACATTACACACTATATTTTGATTAAAAAAAGTTGTTTTTTTTAATAGTATGAGATTCAAACATAGCTTTTCCTCTATATCGAAAAAATAAATAGTTATTGCATGTAAAGTAGAGTACTGATTGTTTCATGCAGACATTTGCAGGGAACGTTCTGGACCATGAACTTCGTCAAACAAAGTGTATTCTCTGCTGCCTCAAATGTAAGGTGATCTTTCAACTAATTTAATTTTGACTAAAATTTGAATCTACTAAAGAAAACGGACAGTAGTGAATTCAAATTATTCCCGTAGTCAAGAGTGGTTTTCGCTATAAAAATATTTATTTTGATGTTAATAGCCTCATGTAAAGCAGTAAAAGGGACCATAACGTTATGATAGACGTAAATTACGCTTGCTTACGTGCGCCGATGTACACTTATATGGTTTCTTTATTTTTTCATAATTTTCTTATTAAATGTGATATCGTCATGAAACTAAAAAGACATGATCATAAAATGTTACTCTTTGCTATGACAAGAAAAGAAATTTGATTTAGCAAAGAGAAAATAAACTATGTTCCCTGTCTACGACTTTTGGGACAACCCTCTTAAACCTTTACCGAG